ACCTGTGTGCTCTGGTGCTGTGCCGGTTGTGCGTGGGATCTGCAGCCCGTGGCTGTGGGAAGGGGGGTTTGTCGTGGGCTGATGGGTTCGGTTTGCTCCCCGAGGACAAGCAGCTGCCTTGGCTGCGTGATGAAATGCCTCTTTGAGTTGCCAAGCGCTCCTCCTCTTCCCCCTGCCTGTGTCTCTGGCCCCGGGTGTGAAGTCCCCTTGGGTTTGTTGCCAGGTCCCCTTCCCTCCCTGTCGTGCAGCTGCTTTGATGTCACCAATGACATCGCTCTCCGTTGCAGGACGAGCGTTTGCCTGGGGCATGGGCACCAACTACCAGCTGGGCACAGGGGAGGAGGATGACGTCTGGAGCCCCGTGGAGATGACGGGCAAGCAGCTGGAAAACCGCACGGTCCTGGCCGTGTCCAGCGGTGGCCAACACACTGTGCTGCTGGTCAGGGACAAGGAGCAGAGTTGATGAAGCGACACCGCGCAGCCGAGCCCAGCGGGATCGCGGGACCCGCACGCACCCCCCACACACCTTCCACCTGGGTCGGGCGACCGGTTTCCAGCTCTGGTTTCCCACCAGCGCGGTGGGGAGGGCGGGAGGCTCCTGGAGCCGGGTCCTGGCGGCATCTGCGTGGCTGGAGCAGGGCTCTTCAGGGATGCTCGTGTTTTTTCCCCGTGGTGCTCAGTGCTCTGTCAGCTCCCCCAGCTCGGCTTAGTCCTGTACTGATCTCGTGCTGTGGCTGGATGGGTTTTCCACTTCTCATTTGTTTTGGTGTTTTTTTTAAATATTTCCTGGCCCAGCAAAGGTGAGGGCTTTGTTCTTCACTACACAAAAGGGTTTGGGCATCGGGCTTTCTGAGGTCCCCGTGTTCCCCCAGTCTTTGGGTGCTCCCCCATCCTGTTAAACTGAACATCTTTTACCTCTCCGACTTGGATTTTTCTGCTGCCAGCCGGCAAACCCCTCTGGGTGAGATCTCAGCCCAGCAGGAAGAGCTCCTGGGGACCGCTCTCCTCTCACCCCAGTACTTGTGGCTGTGGTGGGATGATGCTGCTGGGCGGCTGGGAGCCTGCGAGGGGAAAAACGCCGCGGGACGATGCCCGGCCCGTGCTGCGCACAGAGTGCTGGAGAAGGGAAGGGGGGGGCTCCTGCCTCCCACCCACCACCCCTTCAGGGTCTGAGCCAAAATCCCACAGGTGGCAAGGCTGGTGCCTGCAGTGCTCACCTCCAGCGCTGCTTTTTGCAGTCCCAGCCGCTCTCGTTCTTTCACGTTGCCTTTGGAAACTCAACAAAATCCATCCCACCGCGGGGACTTTGTTATTTTAATTTTCTCTCTTCCCTTTGCTGAGGAAGGAGCTTTATTTGCTGTTAGGGCCTCGCTGAGAAGACACCACCAAAACCCAGC